TCATCCTCCCCAGGCTCTGGAGGCTTTCCTGAAGTGAAAATGGCCTCGCCCGGCCCTCCGGAAGGCTGAAAATTAGCTGGCATGTGCCAGAGCTGAGGGCTAGCGTGTCATTAAGTGGCACCCATGCCATAGGTTCGCCATCATGGGTATGGAGTCTTCTGCTTGAGCAGGAGCTTGGACTAAAAGACCTCCAAGGTCCCTTTCAGCTCTATTCTGATTGGCTGATAACATGTTCCATACAAATAATCTAACTTGAAGATTGGCAATATGCGCCACTGACAGTCATGCCACTACATGGCCCAACTTCGTCAGATAGTTTACTATATTTTGGCTGCTGCTAAAGGAAAAAAGATTAATTCAGCCACAGTCATTTTTCCATATTTCATTTTATTTAGAGGCATGCAAATTAAAATTACCTATTATGCGGGATCAGGATTGAATGCTTATTTAGTTTATTTATTCTTAAATTAACTGAGGCAATCAATAGAACTCCCGGTATATTCAGTGCTAAATGCCACATGTAGCGTATTTGAGATGAAAAGTTGAAAATGATGTCTGTTTCTTTATAGCTGGGTGGTCCATCTCAATTTATTGTGAGATCAATTTTTAGGAAGGCCTAGCATCCACACAAGTAAACATGATAATAGGGATAACATATCAATGTAGGTTGGGCATGATACACTTACAGAAATCGTGGCATTTTTCATTAAGTGCGACAGATTTGCAGAAAAGGATTTAAAAACTGCTCTACACTGTATGCATTTAAATTGTTTTTGCTAAATTTACCAGCAAATGTCATTAGAGGTTCAATAACCTCTTAAAGTGGTGGATTGTATGATTTTACATATTATCATAAATCACAAAGAGAGAGAGATTCAAATCTCATGATTCTTTTTGGGAGACCACAGAGGTGTTTTTTTTAATAAAAAAAACAGGCTTGGTTATCTGACGAAGTTGGGTCACAAGATTGCACAGGAATTGAATTATTTATTTTTAAAATTTACTGCAGAGATGTAGGACAGATACTTTGAGCACTGATGTTTTAAGGTAACCGCTCTCCATCCAGACCTTTGCATTATCTGCCTTCTTTCCCCATCATTTTCCTTAACAAGGATATTATATCATTCTTACCTTTTAAATTATCCAGATGGCCAGCACTCTTACTGAAAAGTGTTCATCCATCTTATTACAGCCAATGGGAATGATTTTACAGCAGTGTTTCTCAATCTTGGCTACTTGAAGACTTATGGACTTCAAGTCCCAGAATTCCTCAGGCAGCATGCTGGTTGTGGAATTCTGGGAGTTAAAGTCCATACCTCTTCAAGTTGACAAGGTTGGGAAACGCTGATCTACAGCATTCCCATTCTTGCTCTAATCCTTCTCAACTGAAGGGCACTGTTTAGCCATTTCATTTCTCAGCGAAGTCAGGATATACACAGCAGTTGCAGAGAAGCTTCCAATATCCTCTTATCTGTAGTTGCTTTGACTGAAGACTGATCTTCCTTCAATCTGCACCCCGTCACTGTAATGAGGCGCTGCCATAGTTACAGCTGCTCAAAGAGGCACCTGAAGTAGTTACATTGTGTTACCATTTTTGTAGTCATTCTCAGCTTCTGTATTCAGGTTTGCTGCTGTAGTATCTATGAAGCTCCTGAAATAAGAGCATTTGTGTACAATGCTCTTATTGTACACAACTGCTCTGTACAATGGGTAGGGGTATCAATTTTTTTACAATTGATACCCCTACCCATTTCTCCTACATAGCATCTATCAGTGTGCAAATTGTGGGCATTCTTTGCAAATCTGTGGGCCTTAGCACCTATGGAAAGTAAGCAAATAATGATAAAAAAGTACCATTATTAAGCTGTATTTTGAACCATACACACAAGTTCCAGAGAGCATCCATATGAGTGTACTTAAGGAATAAACATTTGAAATTGTTAATCTTTTTTTTTAAAAATTCTTAGATCAGTAGACAATGTAATATTAGGGTTTTTTTTTTTAAAAAAAACAGACCAAAGAAATTCCAGGTTAGTCCACTTGCCATTTGTTCTGTTTGAAATGGATGGAAAATATTATTAAAGATAAATAATATAGAAAGATTACTCTTTTCACTTGGAAAGAATTAATATGGTTTGCAGTGGTCATCTTTCTCTCACTAACCTTTCAGCATTCTGTGTGAGTACTAATAACTATGTGATAGAGGTAATGCATTATTTACTTAGATTTTTAAAAGGCCTTTAACAGACACTCCAGAGCAAACTCAGCAATCATATGAAAAGTAGATCTTTGTTCAGTGAACAGAAAACAGGAATGGATCATCATAACATGCAGATGGATCTGTAAGGGGGAGGGAGAAAATCAAGATGTAAGTATGTTTATATGTGTTCTCTCTTTCTCTCTTATGCATATCTATATGGAATGAATGCTGTTCTCTCTGATACGTACACACATACACTATATTGCCAAAAGTATTCGCTCACCTGCCTTTACTCACATATGAACTTACTGTAAGTGACATCCCATT